GGACCACAAAGTTTTTCCTTATTTTCTTTCTCAATTCTCTTGTTTCACAGCGATGGCGATATGCATTATTTTTCTGCCTTCCAGCTTGAAACATTTACATAAACAGAAATTCTAAATGGAAAAGATTCTTATTTATTTATATTTTTTGAGGGGGAAATGTTTAATTTGAAAATTCCTTTACACTTTGAAACATGTGTTAAGCCAGGAAAGCTTGTCAATTACTTTAAATGTATATGTGAAATTGTGTTTATACTTTGATATCATTTCCTAGTGGTTGTAAAGGTGGTAATGCCCTCTATTAGGGTAACTTTTTTGATAAAGTGTAGTTTCAGAGTGGAAGGGGTGTTGTAGTTGAGGGGTATCCTTGATGGTGTAGTTAGATGTGGTGTTTGTTGATATCAGAATTTAAATTAAAGTTGTCTTTGTTTCCATGAGGAAGGAGAAGAAATTTCTTTGTGAAGACCCTATTTCAATATGTAATGCGATGTTAGGAGAAGAATCCTTAAATTTTAATGGAGAGGTGGTGCCACAGAAGACTCGAGGCTTATTTGGAGTACAGGGTCGATTGTTCGGATACATAACGAAAGGGAGTCTCATCAATCGTCCATTTTAGGGATCTGGACCCGTGACGGAGCCATCGCGCATCGCAGTGCTCAACCTCTCCCCGTTTTCCGATGTCGATCGCCCGTTCTTTCGTGTGTGGTGTCGTTTCGCGATGATTGCGCAGGGGATCGCTACCTTTCTCTTGCACATTCTCACTTCGTCGATTTGGCCCATCTCGCGCGTAAGCGCATTTATATGTTATTCCAGCATATGATATCCGTGGATGGAGTACTTTAGTAATTAAATGTCCACTATCCACGGAATGACTCACTGTCCATTTGCTATTTATTACCATTAATTCCTTGTTATTTTTCTTTATATTAATTACTCTGCCGCTTCCTTGCCGTTTTTCATTATATCACTTGTCTAATGCTTCTTTTATGTCCCCCTTGTTATGTTATTTCGATTTCCCTTATACGAATTGGTTTACTTTCGTGTGCCATATACTCTACGCTAGACTTTCTGGTTTCTCTCACTCAACCGGCGAATGCCGGCCATCCCCACACCGCCCTTCCATCCTCTCCCCTTATATTCACTTACGTTCCAACTGCACTTTCACACTATTGGGCTTTACGTGAAGGAAATGTGAAAAAGTGCAGGCCATGCCTATTAATGTTAAATGATGCTATTTCATTTATTTCGATATGCATCATAAAGTGATTTTCCACAGTTGTGCGTGTTTCCTCGTCTCCTGATTCACCTTCCTCCGCGAGGGCTTGCGCGGGGTAGGTCAGTTCAGCGACTCCCCATCGGTGTCTTGGCGCATGGCTCGGAGTGTCGGAAGCGGCGGGCTCAGAGTCAGTCGAGGAGACACGGCGCCGGCGGCGGATGCGGCTGAATGCCCGAGACGCACTACTGCAGCGAACGCAAATTGCGCGTAGTCTGCGCGGTCTTTGGGTTCGTTTAAAAAACCGCAACCTCGTGGCAAGGTTCAGCCCCTACTGGCCGAAATTAATAATGTCTCCTCACTCCGAGTCTTAGCTAAAGCCGCGTCTTTTCTCCTACTATATCTCCCTAACAGTTTCCTCTACTCAGCTCCTGGCCGAGCTCGCCTCCGTTTCCCCTCCCGAAAACGCCTCAGACACCCTAGTTTTGCCCCTTCCCTCACGGGGAGATGTCTCATAGACCGAAACTATTTGCATCGCTAATTTTTTGTCACCCAATCGGGACGCACGTTTTCATGGAATTTTCCAGGCATATCTCTCTCTTTTCTCTAATTCTAGAAGCCATCGCCTTGCAGCTGCCCGAACACTGTTCAGCGGCTTTGTTTTCGGAAACATAAATCTTCGCCGTGCTCGGCAGCGGCGACGAGCGACCTATAAACAATACCTCTTGTATTTCCGAAGTGTTGTAGGAGATTCCTTGCGGGCGCGTGCGGATGCCGCGGGCGGGTCTGTCTCCGCCAAACGCGGGCGGTCATTGTTTTGCTAAGTGCGCGGGGCTCCCCGAAGGGGGAGGGTCTTCCCTGCGCGTCGGCCCGCGAAGGGGGTGCGACGGCGAGCGCCCGGCGGCAGCTTAGAGTCTGCTGCGCGGCGGTGGGCGTGAAAAGAACCCTTTGTGACAGCCCAGTCTTGCGACCTACTTTCTTTCCGGGACGAAAACTATCTTAATATATAATATAATAAAATTTAGTGACGCCACATTATCGTGGCTTCTTGAATTGGATATTTCAACTGATATTTCAGTTTTATGGGGTCTTTTACTTGAAGCCCCTGGGTCATTTGCATATATTCAAAAAATGGTTCCATCGTTTATTATTAAATTTTGTTGTTGAATAGCATGAAGGACGTTTCAGAGAATGATGCTGGTCTCATGTTCGTGAAAAATTCTGATGTTTTCGAAAATCGAATAAGTTCAAACTTTTCTCGGAGCCTTCCTACAACTGAAATAGTAAAGACAGATTTTTCCTTCAACAAAATCCGATCCGTAAAGATATATTTTGAAATAAGGTCATGAACAATTTTTCGGAAATTTGAGTGCTTTTCGAGTGATCTTGCGTGAAACTACGGGCGAGGAAGTGCGTGCTGTGTTAGCTTCACTAATTGCGGGCAACAAGTTTAATTTGAAGGAAACATTTTTGTCTTCAATTTTGTAGGATGACGCTGAAGAAAATCCAAACTTTTGCAATTTTCAAACATTCAAATATAACAGTTAAAATCAGAACTATGCTACTTTTATAAGTGGATTTCACTCTATTCTTACAAGAAAGAATCATGTTTGAAAAAATTTCCAAGTGACTTCATGTAAAGTATCCTTAAATTTTAAAGAATGTTTTTCAGAAAAAAGCAAAGCTTCCACTCGAACCAGATCGACCGGGGAGTATCCATTTTGAAATAGGGCCTACGTATGGTTTAGGTGCTAGGGATGTTGACAGATTGGACGGACAGACGTTTTGAAAAAAAAATCGGTATCAGGGGACCCCAAAACGTGCATTTCCGTTCATATCTCGAAATCGATTTTCCGTAGCATTACATAAATTTCTCTATACTATATATATTACTCCGTATTCAGGAAAGTAAAGATTAGGGATTTCAACGAAAACTACACCTACATTATTTTATGCATTTTGTATATTATCCAAGGACAAATTGTGAAATTTGAGGCCATTTGTCTGAAAATGTTTAACCTGTAGTTGAGACTTCATGTAAAGGATCTCTAAAATCAAATTATTCCTTTCCAACTTGCAAGGCCTTGAGTTCGTTTAGATCGACGGGGAAATGTCCATTTTG